CGAACAAATGCATTTATTTAGCTAATGTAAAAACATCACAGCCCTGCTAGTAACGTTGCAGAAGTGTTCACACGAATATGAAACTTGTTGTTGTACGCTATTACATTGCAGAAGAAGATCACGGCTAGATCTCGAGTCTACACTTACTACTTTGCGCCCAAAGATAAGGCTTTTGAAGCTTTCGCGTGACGATAACATGAAGAAGATATGATGAAGAAGACTATCATCAGAATAGCCGCGAAACGCGAGTATGTTTTTAACTAAGCATGTTTTTCAAAAAAACAATTGCACTGTCTGTCCGTACACTGAAAACAGCGTAAGTTATGTTTACACTCAACAAAATTACTCGATTCTGATTGGACAAGAGGAGTGAAATTAAATCCCAAATCGTACTATGTAGAGTCCCAATATAATTGCTCAATTTTTCTGAGTGTATCTTAAACAAAAAAAAAAACACCGAACAATCTTCTCGTGCATGGCGGAATTTGTAGATACTTGTGATTTTTTGAAAGTTCTTAAATTGGACTTGCCTAAAGGCTCGTCCAATTTTGAAAGCTTTAAAAACATCCCTCGTACCTATAAATTCCGAATTATACTCGAGAAGGTGCGATTTCCTATAAAAAATATTAATACAAATAATCAGTCACCTGATCTGACAAAAAGATGAATCTTTTGCTCGTCGTCGAATACGCTTCGAACTGCAGTCACTAAAGCCTTCTTCAATCGAAGGAAAACCTCTTTCCACTGGTGCCGGGAAGTTTCCCTTTTCTCGTCATCCTTGGAAAAATAGTCGGGATACCCTGTAGTGACGGGTTGTAGGACGTACGACGTGGGAATAGCATTGTGGTCTATCTTATACTAACTAAATGGGGTGTAAACAAAATAATCAATCCATGTGCAGATAAATGAGTTTAGTTCTATTGCAGTAAGCTTACAAAAATATTAAAATTTTTCGATCTAAATCAGTTTCCTATTTCATAGGATTCTTATCATTCTCTTGCAAAATACCGTGTACAAACGTTAAGGCATTCGAAGAAAATTGAGTAAAACAATTGTAGAAAAGGAAATGAAAAAGGGACTGCCGCACCCGAAGTTTTAATGGACGATAATCAGGCGTCCCTTACTAAATAATGCATTACTCCAAACAAGCCCTGAAAACTGGCTTCTCATCACTTATTGATCATGTGGGGRAAAAAATCACACTTACTTGTAGAAAAGGTCTTTAGTGTCGTCTTCAGGGACGGCATTCATCAGTGCTTCAAAATCTTTTACGTCTATTTTAGGTGGTAGAGGGCAGTAGCCGTATTTTTCAGCTAAAAGAGTCTGGTTCGGTCATAAAAAGTATATCAACGATTTAACATAAATTTTAGTATAATATAGTATGTTTGCGCTGTTTCCAAAATGATCTTCTTCTTTATAGACTATTATGTAAGGCACTTTGGGACACTTTCTTTTAATAAACAGTACGTACAACTTCAATAGCACTTTTCTTTCTTTCTTTTTTTTTTTTCTTTTCATTATTCCTTTTTTTCCGATGAGTTGCGCACTGCTGTACTTGCGACTTGCGTTGGCGATAACAAGTATTTTTCTATAACAAGTACTTATCAAAAAAGTTATCAATTTTGACGATGTCTTACAATGAAGTTAGGTCCAACAGATAGTTTCTGGCAGGCTCGTATCTCGCTGATGCACAGTTCTGTTGTTTCGTGCATATCTGTGGCTTCATCTCTGACACCCCAACGCATATCTACCACCTTGATCAAAAGAAAAATTACACCAATAAAAATAATTCTCTCGATCATGATCTAAAGCCTAGAAATGAGAGTACCTAACCAGAAATGGGAAAAAATTTCTCAATGCAAAGACAATGGAGCACATTAAAATATGTGCGTGTGGGGGGAAACCCAGAGAAAAACACTGAGATATCTAACAACTTCTACTCGATACAGAGTGTTCATATCACAGTACAGAGACATAAAGCAGCTATTTTATATTGCTTTTTTGAAATATTCAAGGATAATTTGTGTGCAAGTGTGTCTCCCATCTGTCCTCTGATATAAACACAGCCAGCCAATCAGCATGCACATTCGGTAATCAAGAATAGAGTACCTGAAATTCATAACCATTTTCTTGGCAGTATGACTTTAATCTAGGGTATACTCTTTCCATCAATGCATTGCGTTCATGCTCAGTGTCTATTAGGGGGGAAAACAGCTAAAATTAGCATACCATATATCCGTGAAAGTCTTGCTCAAATTTGCATAAATAGTAAGTTCAGTAGACCTCAGTAGAGTGCAGACCTACAAAACTTTACACTGATTTGTACAATTTTGTTTGTTAACTTTTTCATGGATGTACAGTTTGCACCCTTTGATTAAAAGGTGAAACAGAACTTTAAAAAACATGTTGAGTTAATATGCAATGGAGAGAGTGGATGGTGACCAATTGAATATGAGAGAATAGAAATGAGGTGGATCATTATCATGAGTATTATTCCAAAATTAGTTTAAGAAAATGACACATTTTCATTATAAGAGGAATTAGATAATAAGAAAAAAGATATTGAGGGTCAGCCAGCTGGGAAACCTGAAAGGCCTGTATAACAAAAGTATTTCTGTACTAAAGCAAACCCAAATTTTCATAGTTAATAATTCAAAGAAAATTATCTCAAAAAACTATACTCTCTTGATTGGTGTCAGTAAAGGCAGCTAGAAACTGATCCCCAAGTTCAGCACCACTTTCCATTTTATTAGATGGCAACAGCCAAAATGTGCTAGATGACGGCCTGTGCATGTCTGCTCATACCCCACCCCCCATACCCTAAACCCCTCCCCTAATTCCTAAATCCCCCCTCCCTCAGGGAGCAAATGAGGAAAAAAAAGGCTGACATGATAAAGAGTAAACAACCTACCTGTAAAAGTTGAGCTTATGAATATTCTAATAAGTTTAGTATTCAGTGGACACTTCTGGTCAACTGCACCATGCAAGATATTTGCGATTTGTAAGGATAGCTCAGATCTGAAACCATAGTAATTATAAGCAAAAGTATGTATTGATATATAAGACCTTTAAAAGAAACTAAAAGTGTTTCTGAATCAGAAAAAGATAATGATAATGCATTTAACTTACTGATTTTGATTGCTAGCATTTGAAACTTTGCGAATCTTATTCTTTCCCTTTTTGCCCTTTCCCTGCATTTTTGCATTTTGTCTATCATCTTTTTTTGAAGTCCTTGAGTCAACTGGCTTTTTGAGTTTTGTAGTTTTTCTTACAGAAGACTTGTGAGTAAATGATGTCTTTTTTTGGGTAACTTTTGTTCCCCTTGCCACCAGAAGCGCATTTTTGCCACTGAAAATATACCCAAAGTCGTATTATTAGTTTCATTCAATTCCTTAGGAATTTCATTCTTTCATTTATCCTTGCATCCATTCATGAATAAATACATTGAACAGCAATTAAACAGTTTCTCCACAGTGACAGGTGTAATAATCCATATGAAAATGAGAGTAAAAAAAGAAGTTCCAATAGAATGCATGGGAAGGGATGGGATGATAATACATACTAGGTTCTGTAACTGTTCTATAAGAGGAATTGGGAAGGGACCAGATCAAGTGTCAACTAACTGGGGGGGCTAAGAAGGGAGAACCAGTCACAATTTATTATTAATTATTATTACAATCACCAAGCCGATAGCCAGTGAATGTATGCATGGCCATTACAACACAACCAGAATATGTGAATGTTGTAAGCAACTTGTAAAATCTGTGAATAATACATAAGTCATTTGGGACATTTTGAATTCATATGCTAATTAGATACAACCACTAGTGCTGTATCAGAACAGTATACATATCTAATTAGCATTTTCATTATAAGGTTTGTATCTGGTTTACATGTTATTCAACATGTGACCTGATTTCTGAACTTGAATTACCATCACACTCTTATTAATGATTCATGAATTTTATAATACAAGATACAGTAATACCACACTGATTCCAGGAATTATTGAACCCACAACCTAGAGGTGAGACACTACTGCTGCACCACCATTAACACTCAACCTTGTTACCACACATAATTATGGAAATATGAGTAATAACCTTCTCTTATCCCTTTGTTTTCTTTCATCATGCTCTTCTTTCGATCCTTCTCCATGTGAAGTGGTCAGCTCTAACCCCTTATCATGATAGCTGATACCAGCTTTAAATCTGGCTCCTGCTCTCACAGCCTATACTGATATTATACCATTCTTGGTCTGAGAACTACGAACACTACTTCCATTTCCCATGGCTAGTCAAAGATTCAAGCTACCTCGGTTAATGGTTGTCATGACAACGATGTGTTGAAATCTGATGAACAATATATAATATATAATATAATTATATTAATATATTTAATATATCTATTTATATATTTATCATATATAAATTATAATATATTCAATATGTATATATATATGTATGTATAATGCTGCCTTATGATAGTAACGTACGTCATTATGCAATCAAAAAACTTATTTTTAAAGCAATATATTAGACGAAGAGTGACAGATCTTCGATGGAATTACACAGAAGTTTACAAAACTATCGCAGATATCAAAATTCTTTGAAATTCTAAGAGAAAAAATACCTATCAAGCTCATAAAGTATCGACTTATTCAGGGTCAAAGGTGCTTCCTATACTGAGACAACTGAAGCGTTCACTAAACGGCGTTTTTACCTCGTCGTAGGACGACAGGACGAAACTCCGAAGGAAGAAAAGGTAGCTTCGAATGAAAATATTTTAAAAGTGTTACCATAAATATATATTATCTTCTTTGGAATCCTATCATGTCGGACAGTGTCTCAAATGTGGAATCGGTGCAATGTCGGAGTTCTTTGTTGGGCTTCCTGTGTTCAGTATTTTGGGATAGTAGTAAAATTGTACCAAGGGAGGGGAGAGTAAAGATAGTGTTGGGTGACCGCGATATGATCGACCAACTCGTGACTACCCAAGATTCATAATGGAAGGGACGACACCAGAAACACTTCCCTTCAATTATTACTAAATATTCCCGGCTCAAACTATTGAATGGAGAGCAAAGAGGCCGCCCAGGGCAACTCCAACAACATATCTACTGAAGATATCCTCAAGTCGTTGGAAACATTCGGCAATCGGTCGAAATCGCCAGAAGAAAATCGATCGAAAGGTGAGAAAACCCTTGTGAACATGTTTTGGCAGCTTGGTTTGTTATGGTTTTAAAATTATGAAAATCTCGACTCCTACATAATTTTTGAATTCAATCTCAATTACTCTACATTTATCGATATATTAAAGCTAGTTTTTCAGCTCATTCCTGTATTTTATGATATTTTATCAATCTCCAAAAGCGTAAATAATCCCATGAACATTTCGCGACAGAAGCTCAAAATTCATAAACTCATTCAGGTTTTACTTTCTGTTTCTATTCCCAGAAATAAGGCCCAGTGTTTGATTAAGAACTTTAGTTACTATATTTTAATCTAAAGGTGTATTTTATTCGTATTGAGGATGAAATACAGACTTTTTTCCGAGGTATATAGAGTAACAAGTTGCGAGGGCGAGACGTGTAAGATGTCAACCCCCCGGCCAAATGACCTCATGTCGTGCAGTGTTTCACTTAGAAATATATTTTTAAATAGGTTATAAATCATATCGTAAGTAAAATAAAATTTCACTTAATTTCATTTGACTTTTCGTTTCGTTTTATTTCAAAAATATTTTTCACTTATGCAGTACTTCAGGCACCTACAGACTAAAAATGTAGCTGCGGGATCTGGGCATAAAAATGTGAAAAAATGAAAGGAAAAATGAAAAATGTATAAGCAGTAGCAGTCTGCATGTATGAGTAACCAATGACATATTTATATATGATCTTATCTATTGGAATGTTTTGATTATATTCATCTAAATGGATGATTGACAATCAACTGATTGCTTTTGATTAGCGGCAGAGAAAAACCGAATTTCAACATGCAGCTTGCAACTATCAATTTTGCAGAATATCAAAAATATCAGTAAGAGATTTTTTGAAACATGTACCAGTATGTACAATGCCTACCTATAGCACATTTACTTTGCATCCATTAAATTGCCAAATCATATTCATCAAAAAAATATTTGACAGTCATTCTACATTATTAATTTATTGATCAAGGTGCATGTATGCTAAACAATGGAAATATCTCACATTTTCCAAGGCAAGTTTACAAAAGCTTTCAACCTTATCTTAATGAAACAAAACAAAACAAAACAAAAAACTATTGTAAAAAAAATGTATTCATTCTTCAATCAAGGTTGAAACATGATTCTAAACTGAAAGGATAATATAAATTTTACTAGTTTTATCCCTTGTTTTAACCAATTATATTAATCATACCAATTCTGCACCTGCATCTTTGTAAACCCTTTTTAAAATTGAGGGTCAATGTTCAATAATTTATTGGTGTTGGATTTGACCAATTAGAATTTAATATCTATAGTGTTCCACCATCAACAATTAAAATGTAGCTTTTTAGATTGTCATGACAAGATTGTTTGCTTCCAGATTGTTTGAGTTCAGTCATACAGATATATTTTATTTAGTCCATTCTGAAGCATGTTAGTTTGATGTTTAGTTGTGGAACAAAATAAAATAAAGAAATCACCATACAGAACTTTATATATTAGTTGATCTGAATTTTGAACCTTTTTGTTCTCTATGATTTTTAAAGCTTCCTAAACATTTGATGGATTCTTTTATGAAATAATTTATATAGGCAAAATTGATAGATCATAATATTTGTAACTGTTATTTGAGATACATACAATTGGTAGATTTTGGAAGTGACTTCTAAGGCAATTACAGCTGAGGTGGAAAATGATATTTACTGTTGCATCGCTATATGATCGAAAAACAGAAATGACAGGGGAATCGGGAAATACATTATTGTCAAACAAATTGTTCTGTACCTTGATTTACATACTCTGATGGACAGCAAACCTCAAAACTCTTGCAACAATCCGCATAGAAGATAGCAAAACACCATAGAACATTACGCTCATTGAATTGGAAAATTTCATCGTAATTTCAGCAAGGGGTTCATATATATATAAATGATACAATGGTTATTTTTCTATCAGCAGTACAATCAATACCATGTAGGCTTTGACAGCTTATTGACAGGAAGAAAAACATTCTTAATATTGTTGAACTAAAAAAGTCAACAATGTAATGATTATTGACTTTGTCTTTAAATTTGTTTTAGACATGTACACTGTACATTTCAATCACTTTCTAAATCAGAATACACACAGGAATTGATTTACTTGAATTAACCAGACAATTTTGATTTTATAATACTTCAAAAAGATGTTTCTTATAGCACACCATCTTTTCCAAAAAGAAAATTGGGGCCAGATTAAAAAAAACAACTTTTGTGTATAAATTTTCCCTATTAAAATAATAACATAAATTATTTAAAAAATACAAACAATAAAATGCTTGCCTAAGAAGAATTATGTTTACGTCGTCTCCTTAAATTTGCTTAAAAATTACAATGTACTTTAAAAGTACAGATTTGTTTTATTGGAAATTGAATTAAATATGGGTATTAAATTAAGCCTTTACCTCATCAGAGTACAGTTTATAATTTCTAAACTCCAGACCTTATAGATTTTTATTAATTCCATTAAATGTCTATTAAAATCAGTTACATGTAGGGTATCGAATAAGGTACATCACCTAATTTAATTTCCAAATACAATCAGTGATGCACAGAAATATATGTTTTGATTACAGATCATTTGAGCCATTATAGAGCTGTAGTTTACATTAGGACTATTTCCTTTTTTGTTTTATCTGATACCATGTAATAGCAAGTACATTTACTTGTCAGCTTTTATAGTACAACAGGAACCTGATGTACACATACATGTACAGTAACACTGAAAATATACATTATCCACTTCCCATTTATCCACTTTCTATCAACTCACAGTTTCCCATCCACCCACTTCCCATCAACTCACTTCCCATCAACTCACTTCCCATCCACCCACTTCCCATTCATTCACTTCCCATCCATGAACTTTCCATCCATCTACTTCCCATCCCTCCAGTTCCCATCAACTCACTTACCATCCACTTCTCATCCATTTACTCCCCATCCATAAACTTTCCATCCATGATCTTTCCATTCACTTTCCATCCATCCACTTCCCATCTATATACTTCCCATCTATTCATTTTCCTTCCATCCACTTCTAACCAAACCACTTCCCATCAAACCACTTTTATCCATCCAACCTTGAACAATTATCAAGCATCCTTTCCTCCCTCTCTCCCTTTCTTCTTCATTCCATTCATTCAAATTCATTCAATTTTATTTTTCTCAAGTCATTTTTGACTAATGTTATGTTAATCTATTTTTTTATTTTAGCTTCAAACAGAGATAGTGGAGTATCAGAGAGCTGTTCATCATATTTCTCCGATCCTTTATCAACTACAAGTGATGCGCAATCAGTGCTCAGTGATAATGAAAGACTGTCATTTGCCAGTGACACATTCTCGGTGGTTAGCGACCCTTTAGGTGTCTATGCTTCAAGTGACGAAGGGGATAATGATATTCATTACTTCAGCACAGAACCCTGGGATGAAAGGCAAAGTTTAGAGTAAGACTTCAGTTAGAACAAATAACCTAAAGACAGACATTCTCTTTTTCCAATATTTCTTGTCACTTTCATTTATTTACTCATTTAATTTCTTTTATTTCATTTTGCACTTTAGAATGTTGTATTCAACACACAACTGTGTACTAATAATTATTGCATTGAATTACATTGTTGTATAATACAGTACATACTATACCTGTAGTTTTGTCTTATTAACTAAGCTTTTCATTTAAAATACATATCATTTACACACATGTAATTATTCTGACTTATTTTTAACTTGTTCAGGAAAGAATGGAATCTTTTATTTTCATCAAAGAACTTTTTACAGGAGGTAGGATTCATGATATTTAAAAAATCACTTAAAACTTCATGTACAGTATATATAGCAAGGCTTTATTGCTCTGACTTAAAGCAATGATGTTTCAGCCATTTTCCTTCAGTGTGTTAATATTTGTCTAATAGCCTAGTGTGATTTATTAGCCGAGAATAGTTGGGAAAGTCAATATTGTGTGTTGTGGGGTGAGGAATTCTTATTCTTGGTTAGGTTGATCCTTTTCTTTAAGCACGGTTGATTCTCTCTAGAGAAGCATTTTCTCTCTCCTATTTGTGTCATTATTATTTTCTTTAAAGAGCACCTGCTTCATGCTCACGCTCATAAATTGCAGTCGATGCTTTTATTGAAAGATTATTTTGATACTAAAGAGCATAGATTTCTTTGAACACTAGAGTCACTGGTTGATTCTCTCTAGAAGAGCATTTTTTTCCTGTTTGTATTGATTGTGAATACATCCTTCATAATCGTTACAAAACTAGACTTAAAAACTCTACTGAAGAAAGTGCCTGCTCTTTCATCAAGCCGCCTCCACTAACTAAGGGATGTAGGCACAAAGTTAACATATCCTGCTGCCTTCCTTGTGGTCAGCATCGTTAAAATCCTGTGATATCAATGCCTTATTTCATGGATGTTTGACGGTATTAAGACAGCAAATTGACACCGATCTCGAATATTATGGGTTAGCAAACTGAATATGGGTACCACGTAAGAAACCTAAAAAATGTAGTAAATAACTGTGCTCTAATGTGCACTATGAATGGTCAAAATGCTATTAATAATTATTAGATCAGAGTATGTCACTGAAAAATCTTTTTTTTCCCAAGCACATTATTATATGTACAGTGTATTGCATTATTTTTGCTAAATGCTACAGCTTCATTTTAAAATTTTTCTAAAGAGGTTTTATTTTCTCTGTGAAAATATAGTTACGTGATCATGCGTTGAATGGAAAATTGAAACTGTCTAAATACAGAAGTGTTGCGTGGAAGGTTAGTAACTGTTGAATGTGTTGAATGATTTTTATTTATTATTATTTTTTTATTATTTGAGGATTTATTTATATTTGATAGTTTCCTATAGTAAGAAAAAAAAGCAGATCAGATAATTTGTTCCAGTGGTGATACAAGATTTGTAATGGGTTCCAAAAGTGTATTTGGAGTAAGAAGGAAGGGCTTAGTCCTCCAGTCCCRTTTCCCCCACGTCTTGATATGAGGGCCCTCTTTCCCTCCTACACTCCCCTCCCCCAGACTCACTCACTCAAATGTTTTGTTTTTGTTTGGTAGCTGTTCTTGGACTGTCTTCCAGAGGACCAGGGTGAATGGATAACAAAGACAAAACAATTACGACATGAGTATAGCATTCTTAAACAGAAGGTACAAAATTATTCATTTTCTATTTTAAACATTGTTGACTCATCATACTGAATATTATACTATGAATTAGTCAGTAAAGCCTGGTCCACACTAAAATAAATTAAAAGTCAGAATTAATAGACCTTTTGGGCTATAGCATAATGTTCTCCCATATCAGACCATGTGTCATTCTCTAGAGTATGTTTTCTTTGTGTAAGGGTTGTGTACAAGAAGACACATGAATATTGATACAATTTAAACAAAGAGTCTTATGTTAGAGAATAACAGTGTGGTTTGAAATGGAAAAACATTACGCCCAAGCTGATAAGGACTGTTCTGGGTTTGAAGCAGGGCTAACAACCCTGTCCTGTAACAACAAAGATACACTATTAATAATTTGATTACCTTATGTGTCTTCTGGTGCAAGGAGCCTTAAGTTTAAGTTAAGGTTAAGTAATCACTTCTTCTTTTGTAGAGTTTAATAGACCCAAGCAAGTCCAATGATGATGACGAGAGTTTGCATATATTACATCCATTATCCTTAGAAGAAGAGGTAAGTGATGATTGGCCACTAAGTTGGGAGGGTCTTTGATGTCAATAATTCTTTCTCATGTATTAAGATTCCCACTAGGGCTGGTTTTGTTTTGCAACACAAGCCTAAGGCAAATTATAAGCTAAATATACAGCTATTCAAAAGAGGTTGGTACAAGTTTTGTTGCATGTTGCTTTGTTGAATACCAAGTACCAAATACCAATACTTCACGCTTAGCAAGCAGCTAATGCAAGATGCACCTTGAGATGCAGGATGCAACAAAACCTTCACCAACCATTTAAAAAATAGCTGTTACAACTTACATAGTTATGCTAACTGCATGCAGATTCAGTGCAGGTCTTCTCTTTCAGGTTAATAATAACACAGCCCATACAATGTAAACACAGTTTAGAGAAGTTGATGGGAATTTGTTAATTTTTTTGTAAACAGAGTCCCTGGAAACAGTACTTCGAAGATAATGAACTGAAAGCTGTAATCAATCAAGACCTAGATAGACTGTGAGTATTCTTGCAATTAGCCTTCAATTTATCCATTTGTATTTTCCTGTAATATTTGTTGTTGTAAAATTATTCCATTTTAATATAATGCAACCAACTTACCATACTTACTGTATTAAAAGATTGATATTTATGCTGGGTATCAGAGATCCTCTCAGGCTATAATATATTTTTGGGTTTTGCCACTGTCTCTTGACTTATATTCTTGGCAGTGGTCAATTTGTTAAATAATCCAGCTATTTTCTATAAACTCCTAAGGCTTTTAAGTCCATCCAGTCCTAAGCTGCAGCATCTAGGTGCATTTTCCTATAAAGTACGAATGTGTGATTCAAAAAAAAAATTTATGCAATCTGGTGTGTCTTTCAGATGTCCTGAAATGGATTTCTTCCACTCTCCTACTATCAAGTAAGTCATTTTCCTGTTTAAATTAATTACCTTATTTTCATTCCCAAATTAATTATTAATATATATTAATATCATCAATTATCTGTACTTGTTTTTCAGATTCCATACCTAACATGCAAGGTTGTGGCTTC